AGCTACCCTTGGTGAAGGTCTTTTCCAGTTCTGCTCCTTCATAGCTGTGAAACCAAAGTTCGTGGTTAGAAAATATGCATTTAGACCTGTCCTACCTTCCCACCAGATTATGGCAAACCCATGTGTGTCTCCTGGGGACCTTTGGGAGTGGCCTTGACTTGTTCTTTGCCTAAAATAGCTAGGATTTCAGGAAAGTATCCCAGGCTACCTCCATCCTACCTGAACCAGTTGGTTAGGGTAACCATGACATAGAGGGATGCAAGGAAGAAGACGAAGTGAAAGGCAGAGTAGCTGTAGGAAAGGTGCTGGGCTTGCATTGGAAGAACTGGAGAGATCTCTTGGTCATCTGGCCTGGCAGCTCCTTCCCTTTGTCCTGAAGAGAGGGAGGGGCTCCTGAAATGGGCCCCCCCCCCAGCATTTGTGAAGGCACTGAAGGGCTCTTTGGCACTGCAGAAATCTACACTTTCTTATGGATCCTTACTTGACACTCACCTTCCTCTGGCTCCACTGTTTCAGGGCAACAGAAACAGAGTGAGGGCTTCTGTAAAACAAAAGGCGGCATGTTTTGGAATGACTTTGAAAAAAATGTGAAGGTATTAATATAGAAAACTGCCTTTCTTTGAAAAGTTAATTTGGTGTAAGAAGTAGAGGCACACCTGGGTTCAAATGCTAGCTCCAGCATATAACTGGCTGTGGGAATTTTGGTAAGATGTTTAATCTGTGCCTCAATTTCTCCATTTGTAAAGTGGAGCAAACACCTACCTCACAGGGTTGTTGTGAGGATTACATTAAATGAGATTATGTATGTAAAGTAGCACAGTGCCTAGCACATTGTGGGTACTCAATAAAAGGTAATAGCAGCTAGAATCTGAGCTTTCTGGGTAGAGATTGGTAGGGTGTGTGTGTGTGTGTCTGTCTGTGAGGAGGGAGGGGAATTGGGGGTATTGAGCTCTCCATTCTCACCTGGAACTCATAGCTGTAAACCTTGATGATCCACAAGGGCCCAAATACCTCAGCCAGGTAGGAAGCCTCATTGCTGAGAAAAAAAAAGTTCTCAAGCAGGTTCAAACAGCAGGAGGGACTACCTTAGGGCATCTACTGCCAGCTGGTCCATATAGGTAACTCAGGAGAGTATTGTGATCCCAGAACCTCTTTCCCCCCAAAGATTTAGAAATTTCGTATGAGGGGCCCTATGATATTTATGTATTTTATGCTCAAATTATTCCCTGTGCCCTCTTCTCATACAAATCATCTTGACAAATGCTATGCTTAGAAATTATTAATTGGTAGCTTTCCTCTTGTTTTGCTTTAAAGTTTAAATAAACATGGTCCCAGACAACCTGACCATCCCTCCACGTCCTTCTTTCATACCTCTTTTCTTAACACTTTTACGCACCAAGCAAAAAGCACACAAGCATACATGATGCCAGCACTCAACACTGCCAGGGAAGTATCTGGTGTATGGGATTCCATTTTACTTGGGCCAGGCAGGCACAGAGTGTGATTCTCTCCTTGAAGGATTACTGAGAAGGGATAAGAGAAGAGAAAGGTGGTGAGAACAAGCTAGGTATTTGGCAGGAGAAAAAAATGTTTTAGCACGGGGAGTCCAGGTCCTGTTCTTACCACTCTCTGGAGGTCGGCTGGACAGTGCAGAGAAGGTCAGGTACATGATGTAACAGCTGATGATAGAGGCTTGTAGAAGGCCAGAGCCAGGTTGCTCTGATAAGAATGCAGATCATTGCTTTGTCTACAGGGTAGTAATTTCCTCCTCTCCTACCCCCACCCACACTTGTCTCTTCACCCTTTGGGGGAAGCAGAGATTAGGGAAACTAATGAAATTTGCTGTACTAAAGTCCCCAAAATCTGGGATGTTGTAAGGCAAGGCATCTGGGATGATACCCACTGAGGCGGATGCAAGGAGCAATGGAGAGGAAGGAGAGGAGGCCACAGAAACAAAGGTGCAGACTAAGCAGTATCTTGTTGAGCAGGCAGCCAGCTGGGTGCGTGTAGTAGTGGAACAGGAACACAGCTGCCACACCTGCCATGCTGTAGAATCCTAGGGTGGTCAGCAGCATGGCTAGGAACCAGCAGCAGTCTTGGGATGCACCCGTTTGCCTAAGGGTGGAGGTGGGCAATGGCTTGGGGCTCCAACCTTTTTTGTTTACCCTTTACCAACAAACTATTCCTCTCCCAGAAGACTGGTTATGACTACCCATCCCACCTGGTCCACAGAGTTACCAGATCCCTGAGCTTTTTTAATAACTGCTTAGTGGGAAGTTAGGAGACCAGTGACCCAAGCCCACTGGGTCTACTAATTACAGACAACATTCCCAGGAAGAGTGTTTAGGGTTATGTGCTCCTTACCAGTTCTTATTCCAGGAATGGGCAAAGGCTGTGATAAGCACCAGCTGCAGCAGGATGAATGTAAAGCCTCCACAAATGCCAATGTAATGCCAAACTGCAAGTGGGGCACCAATGGGAAAATGTAGCTCATTATATTATTACTACTAGTTCTATTTCTACCTTCTTTTTCTTTTTTATTGTTATTATTTTAAAATTCTCAACCAAGGATATGTTTTACTGATTTTTAGAGAGGGTGGGGGGAGAGAAACAGATCAGTTGCCTTTGGTACATACCCTAACAGGATTGAACCTGCAACCCTTTGGTGTATGGGATGACGTTCCAACTGAGCCATTTGGCCAGGGCTACCCTTTATTTTTCTTAGAAAATCTTTTAGCCTATTGATCAGGATGTTAGGTGGAAGATACCTGGGAAGAGATGCTCATCAGGGATGCAGAAGGTTACAGCACAGAGACCTAGCAGGAACAGTAGTTTGAGGAGCCAGAAGCTGGTTAGCAGGAAAAGAAAACCAGACTCAGAAGAAAGGGCAAAGGAGAGTGGAAAGTACTTACGGAGGAAGGTAAGGGAAAAAGCAAAACTATAGGAAAGGGAGAAGAAACAACTAAGCATAAGAAAGGAGGAACCAGTTCTGTGGGAGAGGGGCTGGAAACAGGCCTGTTACAGTTTATTCCAAATTATAACTCCTAGATACCTAAGTAACACTGGGACAGCATTTTACCCTTGATACAGTGTTTGTACCATTGACATGGGTTTGCCCCTAGCTCCACTGTTAACCTGCATTTTAGAAAGTAGAAGTTCAAAAAGAGGATAAATGTGTGGCTCATGGTCACCCAGCAGGTACATCAGAAGCAGGGACTTAAACCTGTTTTCTGTCTTTACAGTGCTATTATTTCATCTTGGAATTTCCTTTAAGGTTATATCTACTTCCCTCCCTACCATCTCCCCACCCAAAGAGTACACACAAACCTATTATGCAGCTGTGCCCGCAGGCTGGTAGGGGAGTGGAGGTGGACCAGCAGCACAGCCTGCAGCAGGTGGAAGGTGGCAGTTCCTGCACAAACTCGGTACACAGCCCCAGAGCCACTGAGCACTGGGCAGTGAGAGTAGCCAAACAGATGGGCACACAACCCAGAGGGCATCTGGATCTGGAAGGGAGGGCAAGTTATCATGCATAGAGAGGTACCTACTTCTCATGGGTATTATTCACTCATTTGTTCCTGTCCCCAGTCTATGTCTAGTCAGTGCAAGCCAATCTCCTCACACTTACCCCATGTGCTTTACCCCAGACACTCTCCACTACAGTTCTTGACAACAGGAGGCAGCAGACTGCTGAGGCCCCTACATGGAGGAGGATGTAGAACAGGCGGCTATAAGAGGACTCTGTGAGATGAGGCCACCTAGAATGACAGCAGCAGGTACAGGAAACAGGCCTACAGCAGGACACCTGTGGGTATACCAGATGCAGGGAAGCAAGGCAGAGATTTGCTGAGGAAAGGGTTATAATAATGCATGTCTGAATTTAAACCATGAGGCTGAATTCCAAAATTTCCCCTTCCCCTTCCAAGCTATTTAGGATTGCCACCCACTGACATCAAATAGAGTTTCCATCATAAGAGTTTACCTGCTGGCTCAAGCAGACCTTCCTAAAAGCCTAAGTCACACTTGGCCTCTAACCTTCCCCTGGATCTAAACATATGGTACTGGGAAGTTGGGAGGAGAGGTTTAATGATCAGTAGTCTTAGAAGCATAGAAGCAGAAGGGCCTCTGAAGGGGAAGGAAGGCTTATCTTTATTGGCTCCCATGGGTTTTCCACCCCAGCTTCAACCATCATTCCCTTACACTTTTTCAGATAGCTGTCCGCTAAGGAGCTTTCAAGCCTCTGCCCAAGTACCCTCTCACCTGATAAAAGGGAGGTTTCACTATGACACTGCAGACTTCACTGTGTTGCTGTGTTAGGTGAAGAGAGGTGCTGGGGCCTGCAATGGCCTTTGTACCCACCATCTCTGTCCCAGCGATTAGGCCCAGGTCTACCAGGTGGAAGGTAGATGAAAAAATAGATCTCTTGTTTTCAGCCCATTGGACTGCCGCTATGCTGGGGCGGGTCACCCAATCTAGGGCAGAGTTGGAAGGAACTTCAGGAAAAGAACAGACTTCCGGGCTGTAGTAAGGGCTGTAGTAAATGCAAATATCGCTGTGAAAGGGCTTTCTTATAAGGGCCCTTAGGCCATGCAGACGTTCTCCCCAGATTAGAGAGTAGTGCGTGTGGCCTCCTGTGGATTAGCATTCTTAATTGGTTTAGGATTAGACATCGCTTATGCTGGTTGGACGGAATTACATGGGTGTGTGTTGGGGGAGGGAAGGGTGATGGGAGGGATCCAGGTATAGAAGAGGGGAGGATGTGTGCTGGGAAGGTCTCCAGTAGTGACTGGTTAGATCTGGGAATGGGCCTTGCTGAAAAAGAAAACCAAACAAACCACTGTACAGCCCGAAAAGAAGTGACAGGCGAACCTCCTTCCTTGCTGAAGTTTCTGGAACCAGAACCTTAGTGAAGGTGTGGCCCAGGTACAGCCCGTCTCCTCCTCTTCCGGCGGATGTTGTGGCGCATTACCGGAAGTCGGAAGTCGCAGGGCGGGTAGTTGGCGCATTATCGGAAGTCGTGGGCGGGGCGGGCCTGTGCTGCTGCAGGGTTGGGTGATATGGCGACTGAGGGAGACGTGGAGTTGGAGTTGGAGACCGAGACCAGTGGTCCGGAGCGGCCTCCTGAAAAGCCACGAAAGCATGACAGTGGTGCAGCAGACCTGGAGAGAGTCACCGACTATGCGGAAGAGAAGGAGATCCAAAGTTCCAATCTGGAGACGGTGAGGTTGGCCGGGAGCCTGTCTAACTGGGCTGAGAGCAGAGGGGGCTCCGAGGCTGTAACTGGAAGCCCCGCTTCAGGATGGGGTCTCGATCCCGATCCTGATGGTGGGAGGAGGCAAGAGGGAAGCCAAACCATCACTGGGACTCGTGACTTACGGAAGGAGCTTGCTGGAGATTGGGTTTAAAGTGGGCCTCAGGAGTACAGAATTGAATTAAATTGGACTTGGTTATTGATAAACTCATCATTGAATACACACCAGCCTTGATTGTTAATGGCTTTTTATATTAGGACCTGTGGGTAGCAGAGCAGTAACTAGATGTCTTTCCCATAGGCCATGTCCGTGATTGGAGACAGACGTTCCCGGGAGCAGAAAGCCAAGCAAGAGCGGTAAGTCCTCTGCATACAGCCAGCCCTACCAGTCGCTTTTCACCCCAGCAAAAATGAAAGTGGTGATTAACCCTTTGTATTGAACACCTTGTATCGTTCTTCAGCTCTGTTACCAGTTCCTGTAGGTCTAAGGTTTACAACTTTGTTGGGAGAAGGAAAGGCCTCCTGGCAACACCTACTGCCTGCTTAAAGACTCCAGGGGAGAGGGTGGGGATGTTATGTTGAGAGGGTGGGAGTCATTTTGTATTTTCACTCAACAGTGTTTATCAAGAGTCATTTATATGTAAGGCCCAATTGGGAATGATCCTTCATGGGAGGCAGAGAATGAGGACTAATGTACCTGAGTATTTTTAGGGAGAAGGAACTGGCAAAAGTCACCATCAAGAAGGAAGATCTGGAGCTCATAGTGAGTATTGATGCCTAACTAGTAAATGGGTAGGGGAGGTTACTTTGCCTAATTTAGGTTTTTTCCTGAAACAAATAGAGTTAGCATGTTTTGGTGGCACATTAATGTCAGAGAAGAGGCTTAGGTAACAAACATAATTGATCCTTTTCCTGCAGATGACAGAGATGGAGATTTCAAGAGCAGCAGCAGAACGGAGCTTGAGGGAACACATGGGCAACGTGGTAGAGGCTCTTATTGCTCTAACCAACTGATTTGTGCTTTCTTAGACCTGTCTACTGGATTAATTTATTGCAATAAAGATGTCTTTTTTTGCAGTTTTATCATTGTAAGTGCAATGTATATGGTATTTTACTGTGGGAAATTTACACGTTGGAGTATAACTGAATTTAAGTGGCCCCCACCCTACCATACCTCACAGCCCTCAATGAACCTATGTGAAGGATCAGTTTAGAAGAGCATTTTACATTCAGATGCAAATGCTAGGTGGCATTCATCAGACTAGATCTCCCTCAGCAGTATTCAAGGTACATTTGGAGCAAAGTTACTGTACCTCATGGCATATCTGCCTAGGAACCACTGTATTTAGATGTAAGTCAGAAATCCAGTTCATAAGCTACTTTGATTTAGAATTTAGGTCCTGGAAGTGGGTACATGGTAAGACAACAGAAGATATCAAAGTTTAGGTCATATGTGGAATTAGGTTTTGATTTGATTCCTGGTCAGGGCACATGCCTGGGTTGCAGGCCTGGTCCCTGGTTGGGGCATGTGCTAGAGGCAGTTGATCTGATGTTTCTCTTCCTCTCTTTCTTCCTCCCTTCCCCTCTCTGTAGAAATAAAATATTAAAGAAAAAAGTTGATCAACTTTGGCCAATTTTTGGCTTGCTGAATTTTTGTCTTGTGAACTGTAAAAATGATACATACCAGAAAGGTTCTAAGAACTGATGAGCTGGTGAATATTAAAACCTTGGCCTAGTACCTGCTTTAGAGTAGAAACTCAGCAGCTATAAACCTGTTCCCAAAAGAATTTCATGCACTTATTTTCATTTTGGTTCTAGGATGATTCTTAGATTGTATTCCCCTCTGGCACACACAACAGTGATTTACATTCATCTTTGTGTGTTTGTTATCTCACAATAATTATTTGCAGTTGTATTTTTATTATAGGGCTTTTGAGGATTTATGAGTGATTTTCCCAGTGGGGCATTTAAAGGATGTGAACAAACCTTGGCCTTTCTTATTTTTTCATGCAGTTGAGAAGTAGCCTTCTTGCTGGTTAAATGTCTATTCTTATAACCCCTAGGACTCCTCATGCTCTGCCATGTACATGGTAGTTATGTAATAGATATTAAGTGGTAAAATCATGAATTTAACTCTAGCATGCTGTCCCTGCACTGCAACTCAACACTATGCCCTCCTTGATATATGATATGGACAAATACAAGATACAATTAAGAAGGCAAAGACAACCATTTAATGCATTTGCTCATGGAATAAATCTGGGCGTCACTAAGAATACAGCCTGTCTGTAGAGTGTTTCTGAGATCAAAGGAGATGATTAAAGTGTGAAACACCATTTGCCTAATGATTCTCTGTTGACTTTATTTTAGTTAACAGGTAGATACTTGTCAGCCTGCACATTTTATTTCTAGTATCAAGCTCAAAAAGTCTCTTGGTATGTGATTCTTTTATTTGACATATACATAAATGGGTTAAAAAGTATGTTCACCTAGAAAAACTGACTCCAGCCAAAAAAGCAAAACAGGTTACAATGTGCTTCAATTTCTTGTAAGTAGTGCACTGTCCACTTACATGCCCATGTTTCTGACCCAACTTAAGGGGCTAGAAAAAGAAACCTGGAACAGTCCAAGTGAATTTTGGAAGCCAGAACAAGGATGAAACCTAAGATTTCTTAGAAATAGTTTTAAGTGGGAATAATCCTACCCAGATAGTGCTTTTCTATGGGTTTCTCACCATGAGTCCAAACCTCACAAAAGCACCTTCAGAGACTGGGTTGCCCAGTGTCACAAGTATGGCAGTAGTTCCAATAGGCTGGATACATGGGCCATCATGTAAGTAATGGTAAAAGCAAATCAAGGACCAGATGCCGAGATTTCTCTTTGTGTCTCACAGCTGGAAGAATAAGTATTTGGACTTTAAGTAGTTTTCCGTTTCTTGGCAGATGGCCGTTCAAATACATCTCGTACCCCAGCTGCCTTTTGTTTAAAGAACTTTGTGTTCTGGGCACTCTCTTGGCCCCATGCTGAGTCAAAGGAGGTGGTGTCCTGATCCACAAGGTGGGTGTATTTGGTACGACCAGAACGCCCAAAGTTCTTGACCTGAGGGAAGAATAGATGATGAGTTACAGTACCAAACATATGTCCCAGCCCTCAATTACTTTCTCATGTTATTAAGGTACCCCGTACCTGCATGACTTTGGGAAGAATGGTTTTGTTGAAATGATCCTCCAGGGTAGGTGCACTGAAATCTCTCTTGTATACTTCTTCATCCTCATCCTGTAGAAAAGAGTCTTATCAGCCTTTCGGTTTTATTTGCCATATGTTCAAACCACAAATTTATGAAACTATGATGAGGCATACAAAGAAAGAGTATTAAACCTTATCTTCAGAGCATACATCTAGTTGAGGTTAACATAACACTCCTTTTTTTTTGTTCTTCCTAAGTGTAGACATTTCCTGAAGGTTGGCTATATTCTGTCTGCACTCTATATGCTCATTCACTCGTGACTTTAACTCTGTTACAGGACTTGCATATCTCTGTTCTAAATTATCTACTTCCTATTAGTTTGAATATTCTGTTGGGATTTCAAATCCACGTCTAAAGTGAAAATCATTTAGGACCAACATTCTCTCAATTACCTAGATTCAAAATTTGAGTAATCTTTGTGCAGATTTATCAGTTGCCACTTAAAGTTCTCATCACTTGGGTTATTATAGTTTTGTCTTGCAATAATTCTTACACACTGCCAATGGATTAATATTTCTAAAACAACTCTCTTAAATCTCTATCTTGCTCAAAAACTTTCAAGGTTCTCTCTTATTTAAAAAATTTTTTTTCTTTAGAGATTTGACAGAGAGAAAGGGACACAGAAAGAAAAAACATCAATCTGTTGTTTCATTATTTACGCATTCATTGGTTGAGTCTTGTATGTGCCCTGACCAGGGATTCAACCTGTACCTTTGGCATATGAGCACGATACTCTAACCAACCGAGCTACTGTATTTTGCACGTATAGTGCACACCTTTTTGCCGAAGTTTTTGAGGGAAAAATAAGGATGTGTATTATACATGCGTATAATAACCCCATGCATAGCACACACAAAAATATGGGTGTGTTATACACAGGAGCACATTATACACAGCAAAATATGGTAACTGGCCAGGGCCTCTATTTAATTAAACAATTCCTCTGAGTAGCAGTCAAGGCCAAACACTGGGCTTCATCTACCTCTCCTTTCCTTTTCACTTTCTGTTACAGATGATACTTTCTTTTTGCCTCTACTCCTGGTCCCTTTATCTGGAATGTCTTCCTCACCACCGAGTGTCAAAAAGTCTATACGTTAAATGCCACCGTGTATTATGCTTTTCAGTGTTCTACCAAATACAACATCTCCGTCTTCAGAAGTCCCACAGTACTTTTCACTTTCCTTACATGCAGTGTATATTTGCCTTAGCTTCATTTTTATATTGTAAGCATTCTAAGTGCTAAATAGTGTTCTTTACACAGTAAAAGCTCAAAAGGTTACTTAATGAACTATAAAATAACTACAGAGAATAGTTTCAAATGATCCTATTAGTAAGACTATAATGTTAAAATACAGATTATAAACACATGTGGTGAAGGCATTAAAAGAGCACCATCTTGGTTAAGAAAAGCTTCATGAGAGCTGAGTCCTTTAACCAAACACACTTTTGGAGTATTCTTTCCCCTTTACTATAGAAAGGCCCAGTTTAAAGGTAGGACAATTAAACCATTTTTGTAAGATCTACTTTTCTCCTGTTGAAGCCTAAGAGTCCCTCATTTAATTTCAGAAGCCATTTCAACTTCCCTCTCCCTGTGTAAATGGAAGACTTGGTATTTGAGGATGTGCAGCAAGACTTTCATAGAAACTTTATGTATCTTAGCCAGTCAGCAATACACTTCTCTAAGAAGCTTCATTATTAAAGCTGCTGACATGCTTAAGCAATACTTCATGACTTTGAAGCACTATAACAAGTAATTCATAATATCTATCAATTCCAATGTAGAAAAAGCAAACATTTCTTGCTGAGCAGACAGACATCCCAATTTTAGAGAGAAGTAAGGAACCCTACATTGAAGACTTAAATATTTTCTTTACTGGTATCTGCAGTAAAAGGCAAGAATTTAGCTGCAAGCCCTGGCTGGTGTAGCTCAGTGGATTGAGCACGAGCCTGTGAACCAGAGGGTCGCGGTTCGATTCCCAGTCAGGGCACATGCCTGGGTTGCAGGCAGGTTCCCTGCAGGCCAGTTCCCTGCAGGGGATGCACTAGAGGCAACCATACATTGATATTTCTCTCCTTCCCTTCCCCTCTAAAGATAAATAAATAACTCTTTAAAAAAAAAAAAGAATTTAGCTGCAGTTGGGCCTGGTACATAATATTTAAAAAAGCTAGTCTAAGTTTTAGATACAGACTTCTCTAACATTAAGAAATAATTTAATAAGCTACATGGTATTAACATAAATACAGTCAATGTTTCTATTCCTTTTCTATCTCTGTATTAAATTATTTGTGCTAATCCAAATAATTTGGAATAAGTCATTGTTACTTTATGCAAGATTAACACACATATTTTGGTCTTTACATAAAAAATAAGATACATTATACACAATGATTAGATAAACTTTTTTTGTGTATTAGTTAGGTTAAATCATTTTGTCAGCTCAGAATGAAGTGAAATGAACTTCTGCCATGCAAATATACGAGTTCATGTGAAACTATTTGCAGAGCCTGGTGTTTGCATAACCTGAATTTCTCACTTGGCTATGAATAATAGTATCAAAGTGTTTGGGGGTACCTAAAATAGTCTAGCATCTACACAGATTACTAGGTCTCTATTTTCAGGTCCTTAATTCTTCTATTATATCATTTCCTCCTTCTGGGAGCTGGGGCTAAGAGAGAATAGTTGTTGCAACTTCTAATATCCTGTGGCCAGTACGTTTCTCTGTTGGATTCATATTCTTCACAGGCAAAAAGCAAAGGAGAAAGTTGACCAATGGCTGGCAAGTGGAAGTAACATTCCAGAACCAGTTTATTCTTGGGGGGAAAAAAGATTTCAAAG